CCCCCCCCCCCATGCCAGCGGTGACATATTAAAGTTGACAGATTTGCATTTTTAAATTTTTAAAGTGTCTGGCCTCTTGCAAAACATTTGAATATCAGTCGTTGGTGTTGGCAGCACGTCTTGAAACTGTGGCATGGTTTCATTGATGTAGATCTTGAATAAAGTGTTGCAGCTTCAGCTAAAGGCCCGAAGCTGTTCAGGTTCAAATCAGTGTGGGGTGTTTTTTCTCTCTGGAGGAGCTGCTGACCCACTTATGTATCCTTCAGATGGCGTTTCAGTGTCTGAATGCAGTTTTTAGAGGCTCTTTCTGGCCTGACAGGGCTATAATTCTGGTGTGCATTCCTGCAGTGCTTTTGATGTTTTCTACACATCTCAAGTTTTATCGGGGGGAACTTCTTTCATACATCTTTAAATTCATTGACCTCAGTGGCATACAGATTCAGTTGGAACCGTGACTTCCTCTGGGCTGCTTTTAATCATCATGTGCTCCAGTTATCCACCTGGTCAGGCAGACAGTCCACACTAAAGCAAGGTCAGACAGTGGTATTTTAAGACCTGGAGTAGCGCCTCCAGTACTCTAGTAATAGACTGCACAGTACTGTCTACAAATCGGTGCTTTGCTTATGTCTGTTTTACTTGTAAAGTGTCAAAATGAGCTTAAGGTTTTCATTTTAATGTCTCTATTTAAGAGGCTTTGATATCTCATTGCAGGCTGTGGGTAGGTGCATTAGTGTATTGAAAGTGGGATTGTGTTGTCATTTAGGACACAAGTAGACTTTTAAAACTCATAATTGGAATCTGGTTTTTATGGAGAAGCCTAAGAGTCATTCTTCTGGTTAAGCCATCTTATTTTTTTCCCACCCCACTTATTTATTCCACCTTACTAAATTATAGTGATGTGGTAAACATGGTAATCTTGGCTGTTTAGGCTCCACTGAATGATCATCATACTGTCATACACCAGAAAACTGCAATATTAGCTGCTTCTCAGAGTGCCACTGGGGATGGCAGCTGTCAGCTTCAGAGTCTGGTTAGGACAGTCCTCTGGGAGCGTAGAACTAGTCACCAGCTGTAGTCAAACATGGGGATGAAATGTTCTAAGGGGAAGCATCTGAATGATATAAAGAACCGAACACAATAGCTACTTGGCTATAGGGCTAGAATGCCTTGGGGCTGGTTTGCAGCCATTATACTTTCAAGATAAGAGTGGGGGAACTGGTGGGTTTTGGAGCAGGCCAAGCACGTAAGAGCTTCCTATAGTTAAGGCACTGTGGGGAAATCAATGTTTTAACAAAATTTAACCCTACTTAAAAAAAAAAAAAAGTTTCAAATTTTTCATATTCTTGTGATTTTTTTTTTTTTGTGTGTGTGTGTGTGTGTGTGTGTGTGTATTCCTCTTTTCACTAGCAAAGAGAACCTGTTTATATAGTATTAAATCAGTTCTGCATGGTAGCATTATTTCAGCTTTTTAAAGTTACTCGCTGCATATTTCTGTGTGCATGTTCTCCCAGTGTTCACGTGGGTTCTCTCTGGGTACTCCAGCTTCCTCCCACAGTCCAAAGACATGCAGTTAATGGGGATTAGAGCAGGGCCAAAAATATTTATCGCAATATAAATTTGAGAATTTGCGATAATGATATAATTGACACTAGACAAAATGCTTTACAACTCCACAGCTTTAGTACAAAAAAACAAACGTATTTTCACTTAAACAAGCAGCTTTTTTTTTTTTGTGCATTAAAGTTATATAAAAATGTAACAGTGCAAATTCCTTGCTGACAGTTTAACCAAAATGCATTTCCAGTGGAAATTGGCCGACATATCCTCAGCATAACCATGTATAACATCCACAAAACTTAAAGAGGTTACACACACACGCACACACACACACAATACGGTGATATTATGTTGAAGCACAGTTCGCATCACTCCGCGAGGCTCCTGCCTACGATAGCAGTAATGCTCCGACAATCCATCAAGCGGTGCGGCTTCGTAGCTTAGCGAAGTCGTACTGAAACATTTGACAGATTTTCGAGCAGTGTACATAAAATCGTTTCGAGGTCAGTAAACAAAACCAGAATCCATAAAGGGACCTGTCGATTTTCAGAAAAATCAAAGGATTGATTTTAAGTGTGCCGTATTTTCCAAACAACACGGTAATAACGACGGCCCGCTAGCATGCTCTACCAAAAATAGTGCTTTGTTGTGTATCTGATGGACGAAAGCTAAACCAGTTCCACACCAGTGAAGTTGCAGCATTTTTACAAACTAATTCTGGTTCATTCGTTTCATTCAACGATCCGCTTTCGCTCTTCTCATTCTGCGCCGTGCTTTTTCCGCCATGTATGTATGAAAACAGACACTGCGCATGCACGTTTTATCCATATTCTATCGAGATATTTCATTTTCCTATCGTTGCCCAACATTATACCGGTATTACCGTGAACGGTATGATATGGCCCAGCCCTAATGGGGATAGGTTAATTGGTAACTCTAAATTGCCTGCAGTAGTGAATGTGAGTGCGATTGGTTGTCTGTGCCCTGCGACAGATTGGTGACCTGTCTAGGGTGTACCCTGCCTCTCACCCTAAGACGGCTATGATAGGCTCCACTGTACTTAAAGACAAAATAGGAGCGTATTGGTGAAGTTAAAACAAGCACAATTTGTTTTCTTAAGCGGTGAGTCAAAGTTGTTGCTGTAATTAAACTGATAGTTGCAAAGCCCAACAACTACTCGGTTTACTGTTGCACATGTTTTCCAGTTGACATGAAATTGTCATTTCTTTGTGAAATACTAGTGTTACATTTTAGTTGTTGAAGTTTGAATTGTGAAATGAGTTACTAGTCCATGTATTCATCTTTAGCAGGCTTGATTACTGTAACAGCATCTTTGCAGGTCTACCTAAAAAATCAGTCAGACAACTACAGCTCATTCAGAACTCTGCTGCTCGAGTCCTCACTAAGACCAAAAAAGTGGACCACATCAGTCCAGCTCTGAGGTCTTTACACTGGCTGCCTGTCGGTCAGAGGATAGACTTTAAAGTTCTGATGCTGGTCTATAAAGCTCTGAATGGTTTAGGACCAAAATACATCAGTGACCTCCTGACCCAGTATGAACCTTCCAGATCCCTCAGGTCATCTGGATCTGGTCTTTTATCAGTTCCCAGAGTCAGAACCAGACACGGAGAAGCTGCATTCAGCTTTTATGCTCCTTATATCTGGAACAAACTCCCAGAAAGCCTCAGATCAGCTGAAACACTCAGTTTATTTAAATCCAGGTTGAAGACTCACCTGTTCTCAGCTGCATTTGAATAAAACACCAAATCCACACTTTTAAGCTTAAACTTCAAAACTTTTTAACTACTGATTTTATCTACTGTTCTGATTTTCTGTTTTGGTTTTTTTTTACATACTGTTTTGTTTGTTATTTAGTTTTTGTTTGTTTGCTTGTTTTAATCAATTTTAAATCATGCTTTTTATTTGTTTTTGTTTCTAATGTCTCTGTAAAGCACTTTGAATCACCTTGTTGTTGAATTGTGCTATACAAATAAACTTGCCTTGCCCTGCCTTACTGTGGATTTCCAAAATATGTGCCAACTAACGTTCTTTAAAAGGAGATTTAAGCACTGGAGCGAACCTTGATGGAACTAAAACAAAATGGAAGTGACTCCAAATTATATGTGGAAACATTTGGGACTATAAGTTGCGTGTTTTGTTTTTCTTCTCTCTCTCAAAAACTGTCTGTGTTGTCCTCTGTAGGTACGAAGACAGAATGTGAAGCCAATCAATTTCAGTGTGGAAACGGTCGCTGCATCCCGTCCGTGTGGCAGTGTGACGGAGATGAGGACTGCAGCGACGGCAGCGACGAGAACTCATGTGGTGAGGAAAAACACTCAGCTGTCACACAGCAATGCCAAACAACTTGAAGTGTGAAGGACTAAGACTAATGCACGTGGCCAGATTTGTTCAGTTATGAATCACTGAAGTAAATGGTTTCCAAATGTCCCAGACTATAATAGATTATTATAGTCTGAATTTAAACATTCAGGTCATCAGACCTTTGCATATGTCAGGAAATGTAATTTACCTTTGCCACACACAAATTCTCATCTGTTCTTTGGATGAAGATCTTTTGAATATAGCTAATGCCAGATTCTGAAAACTGGCTAAAGTGTATTTAAGAAAATTAAAGTCTTACCTCTGTACACCACCACAGTGGAAATGATCGAGATGGAGTAGAAGTGCACACTCTAAACTTTAATTCAAGTAGTTGAAGAAATGTATTCCACTTAAGCTGCTATATGTCTTTGGGTGGTTATCGGCTGGTACTGAGAGGCACTGTCCAAACTACTTTACTGCATTTGGCTGAATCTGAGCTAAATGTTCTGATGCACATCAGAATTCATCCAGCTTCTCTGTACGATGCTGCACATGCCCATGCATCCCATAGACAGGCCTCGACTGTCTTTCTAATGAGGCTGTTGTATGGTTCATATCATGCCCATTCAAAGCCTCCGCAGTGCTTACTAGTTCCAGTTATCCTTATGCTGACTGATCTTCTATTATCTCTAAAATCAATGCCATTTTGGAGTGAATCCTGCATAATTTTTTTAGATATGCATTTTGACAAATTCTGGAAATGGCCTTATTTTGAAACTTACTGGTTTGTACCCTGTGGTGAACTGTGCTCTCGTGAAGTTTTCTTTCTTTCTTTTTTCTCCTCCTTGACAGACTTGAATAATGATCTGCATGCCTCCCAGAGAGGGTTCCTCTCGACTGAATGTTCTGAAGGAATTTTTATTGGGGCAAAAGGGATATTTTCAGAATGTACCAACTCTGTAGACTATAAAAGATGAATGTGGTTTTCTGGCTCTGAAAAGCCATTCGTTGTAGGACAGACTTTTTAGTTTTCTAATGACCAGCAAGCACTGTGGACATTTATAGAAATCTTTGAAACAGACCTCTGCTCCCTTGCTCTGACCTTGATGAATGCTTTGCTGTCCTGAGTCCTTATTTCCAAGTTTATGATGAGATCATTTTGTAAATTAGTCCTTGGTGGACTCAAAGGTTTCAAACACAAAGATTGCAAATGTGCTTAACTTGAGATTTTACAGCACGACTTTGTGAACAACAGGATCGGTGAGGTTGAGTGGTTACATTCATCACCCGCACTCTTTCGGAGACACTTTCTGAGAGTGCTGCAGCCTGTAGCTGGGTTGGTTCTGTGCTTAGATCGCGTTAACACGGTTACATTTATACCTGCACACTTGTCTGTATTCTTGTTGTTATGAGTGAAGCTAAGCTGCTAATGTTAGACTTGGAGCTCATTGATCTTTCATTGTTAACTTTACTAAGAACTTTTAACTGATTAAGTCAGAGCTGTGAAAATGATATGTGTCGTAAACACTGAGAATCCTGGTTAATAGAGTAGTGAACAAGTGACTTCCTTCCAGTGATCAGTAATACAGTTTACACTGCATATTGCTACCAAATAGACCCATCAGTAGTTGAGGTCTCAGTCTCTGGAATGTGTAACTACATTCCTGGGATGCTACCTGCCCAGTGTGGGGTATGTGTCCAAGAAGTTTCAGAGTCCATCATCAAATTGGGTCAATCTTTGACCATTAAAGAGTCAAAACAGGTTTTCTGCATCTTAACTTTTAAATCTATTGTGCTGCCATACAGAGCTCGGAATTGTAGCTGTCCAGATATTTCTGGAGTTAAATATATCAAATCTTTCAAATCACCAATGAAGTGATTGTGTTGGTAACACTTAGTCTGCCAGGCTCCAGTTATACAAGCGTCTTACTTTCTGCTGTAGAGCTATGGTTATTGAGAAATGTGTAAAAAATATACTTGGTGACATGTTCCTTTATCACTGTGAACACGTGGGAGTTTATTTTGACCCACTCCCACATGCCATCCTGCTCATGGAAGGATGAATTGGTGGCCTAAATGTCACCGCCTCAGTTCACTTCTGTGGCAACACAACAAAACTGATTCTGGATTTGGTTGGCGTACAGATTATGTCACAGTCCCATCGGAAATGTAAACATGTGAAGTTAACATAATCCATCAAATGCATTACATGGGTGAGGAGTGAAACTAATAAGCCAGAATAAATTTGTTGGTCCCACAGTCAGGTCAGCATTATGCACTCCACACTGTATATAAATGCCACTTGTTTTGCACATATTCAACTCTGTATATTTTATTATTATTATTTATTTATTTTATTTAGTATACACATCCAGAAATGCATACACTATTATATATTGTACATATATTTATTAGTTTCAGGTTGGCCATTCTTGTATTTTGCTCGTTTGTGTTGTTGTGTTTGCACATCTCTGTTGCTTGTGGGGCTCGCACACAAGAATTTCACTCGCATGTGCTGTTCCAGTGTGCCTGCACATGTGATGTGACAATAAAAGTGATTTGATTTGATTAGCGTGGAACCGGGGGAAGGAAGTAAATGATTAGAATTGCTCTTTTTGTGCTTATTTCATTATTGACTCTTATTCATGAAAGTAGGACCAAACTTCAATTTTACTTAGTTTTGAGGTGTGAACATGACGCATCTGAGCTTTTTAAACAAATGTGACTTTTTTTTTTAACTACTCCAAAGACACTTGTCCTCAATACAGACCACAGACTGTTAATCAATCTGATTTTTGACTGTTACACTAACTGATTTTTATTTGTGTCATCAGAGTTTAATGAGAATGTCTCTTCCTTACTTGCTCACCTCCTGAAAGCCCTCAGCGTCAATGTTTGCCTGGAGCTTGTCTGCACTGCTCTGTGGATCAGTTGCCATTTATGTCTCTCTTGCTGTAACTGGGCTGGAAAAGAATTATTTACGCAGTTTGTGGCCTTTTGGAGTGTGGGCGAATGAACGACAGTCCCCCTTGCTTGCAATTAAACGAGTTTTCCTGCCAATGTGAACAACATGTAAATTAAGCAGGAAATGGAGTCTGAGCTGTCTGTAAAGGTCGGCTCACAGGGTGCCAGATTTGAATTGATTTTGTATTTACAAAAAACCTGTTAGAACAGGTACTAAAATTCTTAGTTTTGCACTAATTTTTTCTTTTTATGCTTGGCTGCAAGGGACACACTATATATTAAGATTATATACATTTAATTACACCTGCTGATTACTGCTTATCCCATCAATTTATGTGCATTTTGTGTTTAAAAATCCCTCAAAATTGCCTTTTACTACTCAGCCATAAAGACCGTCACCCTGCTAGATGGGTAGGTGGGCACCATCGATGCCTAAGTTTGAAAGTAAGAACTTTAATAAAGTGACGTATGAGGTTCAAATTGATCCACCAATATTTAAGTCATAAAAGGACCTGACGAATGCTGCACACATTTTGTTTGTGATGCAGATAAATGCATTCGAATCACATTGTCCTCTTCTTTCGTATCCTTCACTGAGTTTTAAGAGTGGAGTTGATGGGTTATTCTCCTCCTCTTAACATTTGCACACATGAATATAATCTCATGACATTCAGAACCTGCCATGTTGGCTCAGTCCCCATCAGGAGCTTTGCTAGGTTCCCTTGGGACATGATGACCTGGTGATGTCAAGGTGGCACATAGAGCAGAGCTAAATATAGTTACAGCTGTGTGTGTCTCCTATACTTTCATCTATCTGGGTCATGTGATGGTGCTAGGAGGGAGAAAAGAACAAGGGATGCTGGGAGAGGAAGTAGGGCTTTGGTGTCAATTGAAATTATGGCTTCCAACAATTATTAAAAACAAGATGATTGAGAGAACGACTATATTGCTCCTTTTTTAAGCGCGTGTAGGTTTATCAGTACACAGTACTGTGCTTTAGCACTCTCGAAATGGCCATACTTAATTCCCAACAATGTTTTGCAGGATTTCCTGATGGCCAATTTTAATTAGGCTGGGAACTTTATTTCAAACGAGTTTTGTGGAAGTGTACACTATACACAGCATCGAGTGACTGCAGGGAAGATTTGGTTTTATTTATAGCCAGTTAGAACAGAAGCAGATGACTGGTTTTGCGAACAGTGATGGTGAACTGAAAACTAAAAATTAGTTTTATTCCTTCACGCTCTCTCAGCTGCTGACGTGTTGTTGTATTTGAGTCTCAGACTGTTATTCTCTCTGGGAGATCAGAGCTGTTTTACTTTCAGCCCAGACTGAACTGAGGCTCACTGATGCGTGAAAGATGAGAATCCAGATTTAATTAATAAAAGAAGAGTTTGGTAATGAGTCCCACTGTGGCTGGCTGTTGTCATGAGCTTCAAATTGGAGTTGGTTCTGAAGTCTGTATTTGTATTCTGGTCAGATGGTGAAGAGGGCTGAAGTGTTTTCTTGAGCCTCCAGTAGAGATGCTAGTGTTGGAGTTTGTTGATTCACAAGTTTTCTTGGGAACCTTTCTGTGTCTTCTCTACCGACATGAGAAATTAACATCTTTCCACATTTCTAGTCGTTCCTATCAGATTCTTTTAACCTTTGGTTTGCTTGAGATTCATCAATCCAACATAGCCTGGAGACTGCACTTGCATAAAGGTGTATTTTCCTTTTTAATGTGAGTGTTACCGAGAATAATTTAAAGGTTGCGTTATGAAAGTCCAAGGTGTAACCACATAATTAACATGGCAAAAGGACAAGTAAACTATTATACTCCAGACTTTAAGTGACATTCTAGGAACAATATTCTCCTCCCAAAGGGAGTATGTGATCTTTTAGTTTGTCTGTTTGCAGTCTAGCTTAAAGACTGGAAGCTACACAAACATTTTCAAATACTGTGATGTAGAGGCTAATAACAAAATGGCTGACCTAGGTACTAATGTCCCAAAAGGCCTAAGCATTTGACCTTGAAATTCACTGTTTGCAGCCAAGGTCAAAATTGAATGCCCAGCTTATGGTACCCAAAGATTTCAGCTAGTTCTGCTCCAATCATGAGTAAAGAAAATTGACCCTTTTGGTATGTAATGCTTCAGTCAAGGGTCAGGGTCACGCAAATTGGGGAGGAAGTGGATATTCTCAAAACCTCTTAAAGAAATATTAGTTATTTGGGAGATAATGAGCTCAAACGAAGATCGTAAAACATTTTTATACGTGTTATGGCGTCCCCATCAATGACACCTGCATCGTTTTCATAGAGCATTTGTGCCAATGCCAGCGTCTTTGTCATTCTAATTTCCATATTAACAACGTAAGAAATCATTTTATTATAACCCTCGCCCTTTGGGTGGAGTTGCACTCTGAGTGCTCTCATGCATATACTGTTTGTAGAAGTTGACCGACCTGTAAATTACTACCTAGTTTTGTAAATCTTTTGTTTATATGGTCACTAAAATGGGGGAAGCTCGTGGCTTTAAATGGTTTTAGCACTTTATTGATATTAATGGAGAATAAAATAAGAGTGTAAAAGATGGAAACCTGAGACAGGGAAATAATTTCAAAGGAATGAACCACCAAGCCAGTCGTTCACAATCATTGACAGGCTTTGGGCATTCATGGTTCTTTGGCTATAGCACGCATTTATTGTGCTTGGCTGTCTTCAAACACAAGTGAACTAATGTAGTTTCTAGTTGGACCATGAAGATTTGGGTTTAAACATGTGTCAGGCAGAGTTATATTTTTTTTTTTTTTTTTTTTTTTTTTTTGGGGGGGGGGATCATGTAGCTTCAGCATAGGATTGCATCACTGTAGTCTAAAAAACAGCGGTGCTTGAAATGTCAAAATGTTTGTGGTGCAATAAATCTGTAAAGCTAAAGCCGTGTGAGAGCCGCTGATCTTCCTTTTCATGACTGTCACTGATGTTCTGTTCTGGTTGAAGGGTTGTCAGGTCCCAGAACTGACCTACAACCAAATAAAAATTACACTTTATTTTTGTCTTCAGTCCCCCTTTGATGGAAGATGAGCGAGACACTCAAACCTCCCGAGGACCGTATCGACTGCATTCCTTATGCAAATGTAGTGTTTGAATCTCGCTTAATCAGAACAGGTTGTTAACTGGTGACCTTTTCACAGGAGAGGAGCAAAAATGAATTCATATTCATGAAGTGTGCTAGTATGGATTTGATCTTTCCCTTGATATTATGTGTTTTTCTTTGTATAATGTGAGACATTTCATTCAAACAGTGATTTCATTTTCTCTCCCATGTTTCAGTTAAAAAGACTTGTGCGGAGTCGGACTTTGTGTGTGACAATGGGCAGTGTGTCCCGAAGCGGTGGCACTGCGATGGGGAGCCAGACTGTGAAGATGGTTCTGATGAGAGCTTGGACATCTGCCGTAAGTTGATGGTTTTTGATGAACGCTGCGCTACACCAACAGTCAAGTGTTACATGTGCAACTAAAGTAAATATGAATCTTTTGGTAAGAATTTAGTTTTGAACCTGTAAGCTGTTAAAGTGGAACCTTTCAGTTTGTAAGAATGTAATTGTCTAAACGCCTGATTATCTCATTAGATCAACCTTACTTTATTGTAAATTTCACAATGCAATCTATATGAAATGTCACCAACTTTAACGTGGCGGTGGTCATTTCAGTGTGCTGTTCAGTCTGCAACCCCATGTAAATCTTTTAAGAAAATCTAGGCTTGGCTGTAACAGAAACAGGAAGGGGATGGTGCTTTCAGTTTTCCCCAGCAGTTAAGAGTATGGTTATTATAAGACCAATGGGGCAAAGAATTGGTCTTGGGCTAAATAATCAGCCTTGATCGCACACGGTGAGAGCCCCAGAACTGAAGTCTTTTTAGTGCTGAGTAAAAGGTTTGCATGCTGCAAGATTGATTATTGTTCCTGCTGTATCTGCCGCTGGAGAGGACACTGCTGTATGCAGGTCGGTTACTCCTGTTAATTTATAAATTACTGAGAGGAAAATGGGTTCATTCACAGGTTTGCACAGCAGCCATCACACAGATTAAGATTAACGACAAGGAACAATATCATGAACATTAACGTGTGAAACCTGAGCTTGTATACACATCTCTCTCAGGAGGTCAAGCAGCATGAGATACTTTAATTCTGTGAAAGATACAAACTGCAGTGGAAACTGTAGGTTCAGCCCCAAAAAACAGTGAGGATAAACTGACCTAAAAATTGTTTGTCCAGCCTTCTTTGGCTCACATCCTTGTGACTGGCTCACATCAGCCACAAGGATGTAGGCCACCACAGACAGGTCGGCCTTCCTCCCATGGGGTCGTGGCAGACACAAGCACGCATCACACTTATAGCAAGCAAGCAAAACGTTATTTTATACGCCATTTTAGTTGAGGTGGAAGTCCATTGTCACCCCAAAAAGCAAAAGTTGCACTATATGAATTATGGAAAACAGAATTGATAAGTGTAATAAGCTGAATTAATAATAGAATCATAACCAGTGATGATATAAAGGCAACAATAGACCGATAAAAATGACACACAATGATTTCAAAAACCCAAATTTGATGTACACGTGATGGCTCGTCTGACTTTTGTGTGGTTTTAAACGCTAGTCTTCAAATGTGTTATCAGTTAGTCTGTTGCTCCAGCAGCTTGGTGCATGAAAGCTAAAGCTGCTTCCCCATAACTGGTAGTGACTGGGATCCCAGACCATGCATTTAAAAACAGTGAAAATATGAAATGAATTCTAAGATTAGAGTTGACAGTTGAAGCACCCACGATCAAATGTCTATGCATGTTAGTTTGCATGTTTGGTTTGCTGCTTGGTACAGTATTAGGTTTGCATTGACTCGAGGAGCAGCTTCTGCTGCTGCTGGTCCTGTAATGCCTATGAGACCCACCTTTTACAGTATTAAAAGCATGCTTGCAGCCTGGTACAGAAACTTTTTTTTTGGGAGAACTTGTCACTGAACTGGCCCCCTCTGCTGTGTTTCGTCATTTGTGCGTCTTGGTGCATTTTAATTTCTTAAAGTGACCAATGGCTTGATGTGGTTGGTGAAGTTTGTGCTTCAGTTGTAATGAGTTAAATTGATTTAAAAGTTTCTTACTCTGCACTAATTAGCTGGTTTAAGATTTCACAGATGTGGCTTGTTGAAGCACTAATAGAATTTGCTGATAACAGTCCACACACTTTTCCATAAATGGTCACTTCTAGGCCCCAAAAACCAACACAATGGAAGTTCAAAAGTACTAATTAACAAAAATAAAATAAAATTCTTGGCCTAAATGTAATGAAATTGAATTTGCACATTGAAATGTATTCAAATAGTGCAGCGAGATGTTCCTGATGCAGAGCTTTCTACAGATTTTAACTGGTGTAAGTTTCATACCTGCCCTTTGTGGGAAGCTAAAACTGTGGCTGAATTTGTATTTTCAAGCACAGTTGCCTTTACTCATGCTAGAGCACATTTATAAACTTTAATAAGCTTTCCATGAGGTCAAACTGGTTGTTTTTTTTTTTTTTTGTTTTTTAAAGCTCAAAGTGAATGGTAGTCTTCCTGCTGTTCATAACAGACGCTCATGCTGCTGCAGAAATTCAGCGAGGTACTTGAAAGCAGTGAGGGAAGAGTCCCCCCCCTCCCCCCCACAAGCAGTACTGTCAAATAAATAAGTTGTTTAAATGGGAAAGCTGCTGTGCTTTAAATGTTGTGTGATATGAGGTCTCACCAAGGTGCTTGTTGAAATCAGAGATGACTCATGATAATCTTCAATGAATCACTTCTGTGTGCTGCCTCCACTGTGCTGCGTTAATGACAAATGGACTTTGGTGTCTCCTCAGGTGTATAGATAAACATCAGAGTGGAGATGAAAGTGGTTTCACTGCAGCTTTAAAATCTTGATTGCAGATGATAAAAATGCAGAAAGTATAGCTCATGAATGCTGCTGTAAAAGAATACTGAAACTCTGGTCTGGCACACATCAACACCCTTCCTTTTGTTATTTTTAAAGCAGAAAATCAAACTACGTTTTAGTCCTAAATTCCCTGAAGAATTCCTATTATGTCATTTCTGTGACCTAGAACTCGACTTGCATGGCAGTGAAGGTTGCAAGGAACTGTTTTGTTGTGGGGGTTTAAATTATTGCAATAAATGGACTAAAATAATGATTTTACAGTTAGACTGTGTCAAACTTGTTACAGACATGACTTTCAACATTATTTGGGGGAACACGAGCAAATGGTTAATGTTACAATTATGGAACCAGGCACTAAATTTAACTTGGAACACGGGGGTGTCAACACTTTTATCAGTGTTTGGAGTGAGATTTGCTGGGGCAGCAGAGCATCTCAGGTGTCTGACAGGGTTGCGCACCAGCTCTGAGTTTTCACAATGAGCAGTCGTGTGTCTGGTATAGTCCCTTTCCTCCCACTGCAGTATTTCAACTCAGCAGGTTCAGTGCACAAACCTGAAAACTATACGAAAGTAACAACCAGCAGAAAAGCAACATCTTAGAGTTGGGGCCAATCCTTTCTGCACTCCTGTGAGGGGATGTTTGGTGCTTTCTGCCAAAACATGAGCGGGACCCGTTGGGGAGTCATTTCAGCAGCAGTTGTTCCAAGCCGTTGGCTGTTAGGTGTTGCCGAGGCTCCAACCGAATTAGAAAGACAAAGTGGGTGAAGTGAAAACAAAGACTTTTAGGCCTATAAAATGGAGAGAAACTCCACTGTAAAGTAGTCAGTGAAATGAATGAAAAGGAATTAAATCTCTAATTCATCCCCCTGTGCGTCAGTTCAAACATTGAAATAACTTTGTATAATACAACCACTGTTAAACAAGACTTGGCTGACCACCTGCTGTTATCCATTCAGTAACTGCAAATCAGTGTATGGCTTCCCAGATGGGACAAATGAGAACTAGAATGTCTTGGAATACTAAGCAGCCAGGTCGCGTTGTTGGATTGAAGACAAACCCTTCTCTGTGTATTTGACAATAAACATGTCTTATTGCCTGCGCACCACATTTTGACCCAGTGTAAAGCTGATCATGTTGAATGTGACAAAGTAATGATTAGACTAGTTTGGACAGTTGTGAGGTTTCAGTGTTCTGGCTAAAGCAGACTAATGTTGGGAGTAACAAGGTTTTCTTTTTACTTAACTGCCAACTGTAGTGAAGCAAGTTGACATGGCTGAAAAGATCCAACAGTAGTTGTGTTTTTCCTTTCAGTCGCGCCACTATTTGTTTTCGCCCGTGACGTTCAGTCAGAAGACAGAAGCCTGATGGATGCTGGTTTGAACACCTGTTGGGAAGCTTTTGTTACTTATAGTAACACAGCATCCTGTGGTGACACCATTAAATATAATTTGACTTCAGCTGAATCTTGTCAGCTCCACACGCCGACGTAGGTTTCAGGTGCAAGAAAAGGAGAATATGGTGACTGTAAATGACAGCAGGCTGCAGCAGTCAAAAGACTCAGTAAGGGGAAAAAATAACTTGCTGTTTTCTTTCGCTGTATTTATCCTCAGCCTGTTTAGTTTTGGCCTAAGTAAAAGAAAATGCATAAGTGATGTCATCTTAAAGACCTTTGTTACACTTTGATTTTGTTATTTGGTAAGATGCTAAGTGTAGTTGTGCGATTTTTGTCTTTTTTCTTCTTTTTCTTTCTTTTTTTTTTTTTTTTTTTTAAACCATAAAATGATTCGGCTTCATATTTTAGCGCTGGTAATGAATTTGTACCAGATGTATACAAATGCCCGTAACGATGTATTGGATTGGACCACAAGTGGAAAAAGTAGTTATAGGTCACCAATTTTTAAAAGTATCAATACTCAACAATGTAAACAGTAAAAACTGACACTGGACATTATTTTACTGTTAATACAAGAGCACGAAACCCCATTAGGGGCTCCAAAGGACACGAAGGGCCAGTCAGGCAAAACACTAAAATAATGGGGGCGCAAACAAGGCTGGTGAGCTGCAGATTAACCCTCCTGTTATGTTGCGGGTCAGATTGACCCAGAACAGAAGAGATGTCACATGTCATCTGCATCACTACAGAAAATGAAAAAAATCAAAATTATAAAAGAAAATTGTAAAATAATCAATGCCAGTGTTTCTGACACTTTTGGATGAGTAAATTTGCCCCGGGTCAAATTAACCCAGGAGCATAATTGGTGTTCCTGGAAACCAACATAACAGGAGGGTTAAAGTATTTGGGAGTGCTTTCAGAACTTAACCGCTCCTGTCAAAAAGGAGCTCTCATAAAGTTGTGCGTATGTAAAGTGTCTGTCCATCCACTAGCTTGGTTACAAAATGCAATTACAAATGCAACATACGCAGCACATACGTAGGCCATCAAGCAAATGTTAGAGGTCTGTATTGCAACTAGAGATGGCACGATACCACTTTTTTA